GCCGTAGGGGCGCCCGTCAGGGGGCGCGCGGCGGGGCGCAGGGCGCTTGCGCGGCGAGCCGGGGGCGCTGCTACCTGGCGTGTCCCGCTGAGGATGGCGGGCACCAACTAGCATGGCCCCGACGTTGGGGCCGTGACTTGGCTTGCACGCGTTTGCCGCCACAAGACTTCCTAATGTGTTGACCCGTATGCCGGCATGCCTGTGGGGCTGGGCGGTAGGCGCAGGGAGTAGTGTTTGCAGCCGCAGCCGCACCAAGCCCGCGGCCCATCCGTGACGACGGCTGGGCCGATTTTGCTGCATTCGTGCTTCACAGTCCTGGCACAGAGGCTGTTGAGTCGCAACCAACCGTACGCACGGCCCCGAATAGCCCGGCGGTTTGCAGCTGTGCGTGCATGGTGACGGCGGCCGCCGCTTCTCGCGATTCGGCCGCCCGGGCGCGCGTGTGCATCTGGTGCAGTGCGTCAAGCGCCGCAGCGCCTGCCAGGCTTTGTACCTCCAGCAGAGTGCTTTTGCATGCGCTCTGGGTGCGGCGCCTCCAGGTTCCATTGCAACCCACTGGGTTGTGCAGCCACCACAACGCGCCACTCCCCTTGCGCCTACATCGACGGATCTGCTTCACTCACTTGCTACAACGCTTGCAAAACACCCGACACAACTCGCTCCATCCTGCCGCCATACTGGCGGCCTGCAAAACGCGTTGACTATGCATCACACCTCACAACACCGGCCACCATGACCCTGAGTGCACATGCGTTGAATCGCGATGCGCGCGTCGATGCGCACACACATGCTCTCTGTAACGTTACCACTTTGGAGGCGGTGGGTTGTCTGGTGCTCACAGCGGTCAGGTCTGGCTACGCACCGCGGCTGAATCGCATTAGCTGGCAACAGCCAGCAACCAGTGATGGTTGTCTGTCGCGTTTGAAGCGCCCGAGGGTCGAAAAAATAGGCATCTGCCTGTGACAACAGCGTACTCCCTGCCCTTCCCCCCAATCACCCCTCTCCACCGCCGCCGCCGCCGCCCGGGGGGCCAGGCTCGGCGGCCGCGCCGGCGCCCGCCGCCACCTCGCCGACGACGATGATGCAGGGCGACAGCTTGAGGCCGGCCGTGTCCGCCGCGACCCGGTCCAGCCGCGACCGCCACACGCGCTGCTCCAGAGTGCCTGCCGCCCTGATGACCGCCACCTGTAACCGGGGGTCACCGGGAGGCGGTATTCAGCAACGGCGTCGCATTACCTCTTGTAACAGAGACCTCTGTATACAAGGCACGACAAGGCAATCTACAGTAGCGTCTTCAGGGCGCCGCCAAACTTCTCAATGCGAGCCCTTGTCGGCGTCGGCCCCGCCCCGCCTGCGGCGCGGCGCGGCGGCCGGCGCGCCCCTTGGCGACCCCTACCGGCGTGCCCCGGGGCTTGCCCAGCGCGACCAGGCGCTCAGCGATCTCGGGCAGCGCGGCGCCGCCCATCAGGACGACCAGCGTGTCGGCCCCCGCGAGCGCCGCCCAGTCGGTGCCGGCCACGTCATGGCCGGTAGTCACCGCGAAGCTGCGGCCGACGGCGGCGTCGGTGAGTGGGAAGCCTGGCGCGCGAGGGCGCGGGCGCGGGGGTTGGGAGGGAGCCAAAACGGGAGCTCGGCGGTCGCCGGGGCTCGATTGGATGGTCTGTCCAGGGCCGCCTCGCCACCCGAAGTGGCATGGTCACGGCCGCGGCGACGGCTCCGGCCTGGCACCCCCGCCAGTGCTTCAAAAGAGAGATAAAGCAGGCGCCGCACTTGCACGCGTGCGCTCGACACGGGCCGCCGGACCCGCGTCCTCTTTTCCCCGGCCGCACCCGCAAAGAGCGGCGCGGCGAGGGCGGAGCTGACCCCCGGGACGAGCTCGGCGGCGCAGCCGGCGGCGGCCAGCGCCCGCAGCTCGCTGGACACGCGGCTGAAGACGGAGGGGCAGCCGCCCTTAAGGCGCACCACACGCAGGCCCTGCGCGGCGCGGCGGGCGCGGGCGCAGTAAGAAGGGTGTGCTTGGGACAGGCAGGGACTGACGGCATACACATCGACGGCGCCCAGAGCGCCGCGGCTCCGCTGGGCGGGGAAGCCCAGACCAAAGGCGACGAGGCAATGCCGGGCGGGGACACTGGCGCGGCTGGCCGAGAGGCGCCCGCGGGCCCGCTCGCGCGCACGCGCCTGCTGCGTCTTGTCCACCAGCAGTCGATCGATCTCCGGCTGCTTTATGGAGGGCCGCCCGCCGCGCTTTCCGACGTACACACGCTCCGCCGCGGCGGGCGCCAGGGCAAGTGCCTCCTGGGCGCCCAGGTCGTCGTAAATTACGACATCTGCTGCTTCCAAGGCGCGCACGGCGCGCAGCGTCAGCAGGTCGGCGGGCCCAGGGCCCGCACCCACGAGCCAGCATTTGCCGCTGTTGTTGCCGCGTGGTTCGCTGCCGCCGGCGTCGCCGATGCCCACACGCGCAGATGGAGGGGCCCACGTGCGTTGGCGCGAGTGCCATAGCCTTGGATTTTTTGTCAGTGTGCTTATATGCATATTCACCGGACCAGATCGCCCCAGTCTAAGGATCCTAAAGGTGGCACGATCAATGATCTCGCGCAAGCGCGTGCTGGCCCGCACAAATACATCAATATGATGTCTTTCACGATTTTCACGTACGAGGTAGTACTCATTGCTCTTGCGCAAGGGCCTGAAACGGTCAATGGCGCCGCCTACAGCACACCCCCAACTTCAGCAGCCCGCCCATGCTGGACACCCGCCAGTGAAGCCAGAGCTGCAAGATCCGCCTTGGCACGAGCAGCTGCTACCCCTAGGTGCGAGAGCCAGGGGATCTCCCTCGTCTGCTGTTCACGCCCCGTCCTTGTCCCTGACATTGCAGATGGCTCGCGCGCTTGAGCGCAGCATACCGCAGCAAGGTTGTCATGTGTGGAGCATGGACTTGCCAGGACGTGACCTTCATTAGAAGGTTGCCGATGCGGACGCGAGTATCTGAGTTGCCAGCAGTTGCATGAGTTGCCACAGACGGGGTACCAGTGTGGTATCGTAGCCCACCTTGAGAACATGCTGATCCAGGCTGAACGCCGGAGACCATTGGCATCAGCCATCAGCCCACATGGCTGCACGGCCTATGCGGAAGGCTTGCTAGGCCACGCGCAAATCCGCGCACTCAGCACACGCAGTCAACGACAGTCAAAATGCTGCATTACTGTATCACCGGATGCACATGTGTCGCATCACATCGTGTGCGATGTTATCTTTATGGATCTGTTTCTGTCTCAACACAAATTGGGGCGAATGGACGCATCCAGGTGATGTCGAAGCTGGAGAAACCGCGAGCAGCCTTTGGCGGTTTTTGTGAAGCTCGCTTTGTTCAATAGAAATCAAGTGCTTTCATCGCGCCCGCAGGTGCGTCGAACTCTTTGTAGACCACTGCCAGGAGCAAGGCAGGCGGCCGCGTATTGTGCGTGAGCGGCATGCCAGCGGCAATGTAGCACCAGCAGCAGGGGAGCCACGGTCCCAGCCAGGTGCCGGCCTGCATGCCCAGATACCAATGTCTCCACATGAGCGTGAGCAGCTGCGGCAGCTTTTCACGACGTTCTGCTGCAGCGCGGGCGGCGATCTCGTCACAAATGCCTGCGTCATGAGCCGCGTCCAGTGGCTGGTGGCCTTGCGGGAGGCGGCCGTGCTGCAGCTGCTGGGCCTGCGGGCGGCGCTCGATGCGTTTGATTCCCAGGTGCGCCAAACATGCTTGTGAGCCGTGCTTGATTTTCCAACGATGGCTGTCGTGAGTTCGAGTATAAAGTTGTTGGTAGCTCTGGGCAGCAACCGACAAGTTGCCCCCTCCAACCTCCCGCCGCCCCCAGTATCTTTCAAACCCAGCCGCCGACTGAAATCCCTCCGTGGGCTGTTCAACACAGGTGCACGATGCCACCACGGATGCCGCCTGCAGCGGTGCCATCACGCGCAGCCCCTGCCTGGACTTTGACGGGTTCCTGTTTGCCCTAGAGGCGGCTGCAAGCAGCCCCCTCTGGTGCGCCAGCTGCCGCAGCGAAAAGTTTGACCAAGGCGGCGATGACGATTGCGGCCTTGGCATCACAGCAGCGCGGCGGCTGGTGGCCCACCTACTGACAGAGTTGCCAGAGCTGCTGTTGACAGAAGCGGCGCCAGAGGCATCCGCATTCGTCGAGTGCTACGGCCTGAGCCTAGGAGGTGGCAGCACCACCAGCGGCGGCGCGCGCGGGGGCCGCAGCGGCGGCGGCGCGACCTGCTCCTTGGTGGGCTGCGCGTGGCGGGACGAGCTGCTGCTCGCGCTGTACCAACCTGCCTGCATAGAGCAGCTGCGCGGCGCACGCCAGCAGGCGCTGCTGCGGGCGCTTTTCCGCAAGTTTGCGGAGCCAGCGCTTCCCAGCAGTCCGGGGGCGGCGGCGGTTCCAGCTTTGACGCCGGAGGGCTGCGTGAAGCTGCTGCGGGCGCTGCAGCTCGTTGCCCCTGCTTGCCAAGATCGCGGCGGCAGGGGTCTCACGGTTTTGGAAGCCCTGCACTGCGCCTTCACGTCGCGGCCGCCGCGCCTCCAGCGGGGGGCGCCCAAGGCGCCCGACCCCCTGGTGTTTCCCGAGTTTGTCGAGTGGGTTGGGCGGTGCGCGCTGGTGGCCTTCCCCTGGCAGCAGCAGCAGCAGCAGCAGCAGCGGCAGCAGCAGCAGCAGCAGCAGCAGCAGCAGCAGCAGCAGCAGCAGCAGCAGCAGCAGCAGCAGCAGCAGCAGCAGCAGCAGCAGTCAGACGGATTTGACGCGTGGTGGCCGGGTTTCTACAGCACAGAAGCAAAGCTGATGTGGGCGCAAAGCCCCGATTACATGCAGGGCCGCAGGGACGCCGGCTGCGCTGCAAACCACCCGCCCAGGGGTTATGGCGACGGCTGCGCTGGCTGCGCTCTAGCCAGCGCGGCGCTGTCTCACAAGCGGGCAGCACATCTGTCTGCTTTCAGCACTGCTTGGGTAGGGGAGGCGCCAGGAAATGGGGCCAGCAGCGGAGGTTCCGCTCCCCAGGGCGCTGCGCAGGCCCCGACATTTGAGGTGACTGCGAAGGCCGCGGCGATCCCGTCGACCGGCCACACGGCAGGGCAGCTGCTGGCCGTGCGAAGTGCAGAAGAGGAGGAGGCGGCGGCAGAGCGGGCAGCAGATTCCCAGCGCATGCTGCGGCATGCCGCGCGGCGGCTGGCAGGAATTGCGGGGCGCGCGGCGGCCGCGGAGCGGCGGGAGGAGCTGCAGAGGAGGGCGGCCCAGGTGGGCGGGCACACCTCGGGGGGGGGGGGTGATGCTTTGGGGTCTAGTCTCCCCACGCTGACGGCGCAGGCATACTTGACGTGTGGAGATGTGGACTTGGCCCTGCTGCAAGGCCGCGTCTACTGAATCACCGCGCGCCGCAACTGCTTGCTGTACCGCAGAGCTTCGTGCGTGGCAGTCAGTGGGGCCCGCCAAGTGTGCAGCTGACCAAGCTTCTGGCCATGTGTGCCGCAACGAATGCTCCGCAGTAGCCAGGTATCATCACTCCAGGTTGCTTGTGTCGACACAATCAGATGGTTACATGTTGTGTGGGTGTAAGGCCAAACTGCCGTGTGTCCTTCGTCGTTGGTGACACAGGCAGCTTGGAAAGGTCCGCAGATGACAAGCTCATTTCCAAACATCTGAAAAAAGGGCAAGCAAACATGTAAAAAACATGCACACCCCTGATGGATGACATGCCAGCCCCCAGCTCAACGGCCACGGCGAAGGGGGCTCCGGCTCCTGCTGCGGCTCCGCCGCCGCCCCCCCTCGCCACCGCGCCGGAGCGGCTCCCGGCCGCCCCGGCCCCTGTCCCCTGGGCTGCGGCTGCGGCTGCGGCTGCGCCAGCGTCTGTCGCCCCACTCCCCGCGCGCGTCGCGCTCGCGCTGCTGACCGCGCCCGCCGCCACGCTGCCCCAGGCGGTCAAACACCGAACGCCGGGGCGGGCTTTTGCCGCGTGCAGCCTCCTCCTCCCGCACGTCTTCCGGGGTGTCCTCCCTCTGAGGCGGGCTCTTTGCGCCGTCGTCACCCCAGCGCCCGCCGCCGCCCCCGTCGCTGCTGCTCGGGCTGCCGCTGTCCTTGCTGTCGCTGCTGCGGCTGCGGCTCTTGCTAGGGCTGCCGCGGCGGCGCTCGCCACCGCGCTCGCGCTTGCGCTCGTCGCCGTCTCCACGCTCGCTGCCATGCTCAAGCTTCGCGTCCAGAGCCTCCTTGCCCCCCATCCGCGGAGCGCGCCCCTCGGGCTCGCGGGCGCCGCGTGGGGCGTCAGCCGCGGGGCTGCCGTCCCGCCGCGCGCCAGAGCCACCACGGCCGCGCTCCTGGTCTGCAGCAGCCGCTGGCGGGCTTCGTGGGGCCCGCCGGGGGCTGGGTGAGCGCCGTTCCCGCGAGCGAGGCCGGAGGGCACCCCTTGCCGGGGACCCCTTGCGGCCGACCCGCCGCCGCTTGTGCCTGCGGTCCGAGCCGCTGTCGCTGCTGGATGTGTCTGTGGCACACGGAAGGGTTGATGAAACAGGCGAGTCAGCATCAAGGCGCACAGGGAGGCGTTGCGGTGCATTTCATGTTGGACCGAGTTGCATGAGCTAACATGGGAGCGTCTAGCCAGCGTCATCGCGTGCAATCGCCGCCCTGCCACAGCGCCCGCCCCGTCGCGACCACCCACCTGAGCTGCTACTGTCAGAGTCGGAGGACGATCCCGATGAGTCGGAGGACGAGCCAGAGTCTGAGCTGCTGCTGCCGCTGCTGCTCGTGCTGTCGCTGTCACTTTCGCTGTCGCTGCTGTCGCTGGACCTGTCGCTGCCGCTGCTGCTACTGCTGCTGCTGCTGCCACTCGAGCTGCTGCTGCTGGACGAGTCGCTGCCGCTAGAACTGCTGCTGCTGCTGCTGCTGCTGCTGCTACTGCTGCTACTGCTGCTGGAGCTGCCGCGGCGCTTGCGCTGCGCCTTGGCCTCGCGCCTCCGCTTGCGCTCGGCCTGCCGCTCGCGCTCCTGCTTCTCAGCGAGCGCGCGCTGCTCGCGGGCATCCAGGATTACGTCCTTGGGGTCCAGAAAACGCGGCTGCAGGCGCGGGTTCTTGAGCTGCTGCGTGCGGCTGGGGCGCGACACATACACCGCGTCGTTCTTGCACTCGTAGGTATAGTGGCCTTGCTGCGGGCGGCAGAGTAGAAAACGGCACGGCGTGGAAAGGGGGCCTCATGGGGTGGTGTGGGGACAAGTGTGCCTCTGATAACACAGTGCACCCGCTGCATCAATACAGCACACAGCGCAGGAAGCGACGGCTGTGCATGCGCACCCGAGCGCATAAGGTGCAGCGGCAAGGCCGTCCCCCAGATAGTCATGACAACATTCAACAACGCTTGCCTGCAAGCACTTCTGGCAAAAGGGCACGGATCCGCCAGGCTTGTTGGCTGGCGCCAGGGGCCGACTGAAGCGGCCCGCCATCTGGGCTGAGCTGGATCCTAGAAGCCCCATTCCTGCTTTGCCCGTTCCTTGGAGCAACTGATCGATCGGCTGGTGATGATCTCGCTGTGGAGCTTAGACTGTATAGAATTTCAGAAGTTCATGAAGAAACCCGCGATTGCAATATTCAAACGCCAGGCCTCATTTCGGAAGGCTTTGAAAAGACCCAGACATACAAGGAAGCTGCACCTAAAACGGCCACACAAGGGCCCTCAGCGAACACTTCTTATTGCTGCGCACCTGCAATGTATTTGGCACGCATTTCGTAAAGGGAGTCCCTACATACAGTCTTGGCCGACATTGTTGCGTGCAGATCAGCAAGTTCAAACTCAAGCTGCGGAGGCAGAAAACAGCTTCGAATGGAGGACTGCATGTTTGGGTCACCGTTGGGCGCACAAGGGCTGGCCTCAGCGTCGCCCATGCTGCTGCGGACTCCTGCAACGGATGGATTTAGCTTCATGCCGCAGCCGCATCAAGCGCAGCACAGGTGCAACACGCACACAGAGCGAGCTCAAGGTGCATGGCAAGCGCCCCAGCATGATAACACTGGTGGACTCAGCAGCATCTCCCTCGCATGTGCCGCAGGGACGACGCGGGCGTAGCCCCGATGGAGGACAGCCCCCTTGTCTTCCAGCGCACGCCCCAGTCACCAGCCGGCCTCAGGTTAGAGGCAAATGCAGCGCCCCAAGCCGGTCGTCTGTTAACTGGGCCTGAGGGCCAGCCGCGCACACGCTCCAAGTCTCGGGACACGTCCCACCTTGCTGCACAGGATTGCGCGCCGCGCATGGCCCAAGCTCATGCACCCCTCGAACTGTGATGCACCCGCAGGTTTGAGAGCTGGATGTCAAGCACCGGCAAGTACCAGGGCCGCGCCGCCCCCAGGACGCCCCCCACGGTGTTGATGGCCAGCGCTGCGCGGAGCAACCCGGGCAGCGCCCCTGACTCGTGCGGTGCGTTTGGGCTGCGAGCGCTTGCCTTTGGCAACGGTCAACAGCCGCCTTTTCGGTTGCCAATTCAATAGTTGCCCCACGCCTATCACAGTTGCCTACTGACCCAGGTCTAGCCGCCAACTTTGCCAGCAACGCCGGATGCGCGCAGGGCCCGAGGGCTCTCCTGCCTCCAGTGCGAGGCTGATGAGGCAGTGGCTGGGCGCGACGGACAGCGCCGGCAGGCCGCCGCCGCGCTCAGGCCGCCGCGACCAGAGCCCTGCTGAGGACGCCGCTGACGGCCGACCTAGGGCCGGACGCGGCGCCGGCGGGGACGTGGGAGGCGCGACGCCTATGAGCATCCTCGGGCGCGACCGGCCGCTCGAGTCGCCGCCGCTGGCAGGGTTGGGCAGCAGCGACGCAGACGCCGCCGGCGACGCGACGCCCGCAGGTGACGCACACGCGCCCGCACGCTCGTCGCCGCGCGGGTCGCCCGGCTTCGGCTCCCCGCCGGGCGGCCGGCCGGCAGCCCAGCGACTGCTTCCAAAGCATGGCGCCGCGGCGGCGGCTGTGCCGCCGAGCCCCCTGTCCAAGGTACTAGACATGATGATGGAGCCGCCCTCCCCCGGCTTGGTGCTGCAACCTGCAGCTGCGGCAAGCAGCGGCGGTGAGGCACCCCGCACGCCGACGGCGGCGCCTGCCGCGACGCCTGCGCGCATGTCGTCCGTGCGGCGCGGCGTCCGTGCGACGCAGGAGCCGCCCACGCCGGAGGAGCGCGTTATTCAGCTGATGCTGCGCGGAGAGGCCGGGGAGGGGGCCGACGGCGCCTGGGACGGCAGGGACCGCCGCGCCTACGGTGGAGGCGAGGTGCGCGGCTGCGGCGACGGCGGCAGCGACGACGACGCCGACAACGGCGACGATGGGGGCAGCAGCTCCGGGGCCGGCAGCAGCAGCGACAGCGGCGATGAGATCGCGGTGGAAGATCTTGAGGCGCTCTGCGCAGCGGCGGCGGCACAGGGCGCCGGTGGTTCTGTGCCGGATATGAGCCCCATCGCCGAGATCATAGGGCTCGTGCTGGCAACGCCGGCTGGCAGGGGCGCGCTGACAGCCTCCGCCGCGCGCAAGGCGGCCGGGGCGCCCGGCGCGCGGGCGGAGGAGGAGGACAGCGGGGCGGGGCCGCGCGTGCTGTTCACAGATGATTGATAGCACGTGTGATTCAGCTGACGTTTTACAACCTCGGGTCAAGGGGTCCTGCCATTGACGACATGATTTTCATGTTTTTACATTTACTCTGTGTTTGGCGTGTGGGAATTTCTGCTGCGTTTTGGTATATCCCTGCTGTAATCGCTGCTGCTGCTGCTGCTGCTGCTGATACTGCTGCTGCCTCTGTCGCCCCGCCACTGCCAGTCGGCGAGCGGGCGCCAGCTCCCCGGCAGCAAAGCCCCCTGCCAGCGCCGCCGCCAGCAGCCTGACGACTGCGCCGTGGCCGGCGCGCTGCGCCGCCTGTATGGGCGCCAGCTTCTCGACGAAATCGGGGATGTGCTTGGGCGCCGGCGTGTGCGCCAGCAGCACGCGCACCACCCCCTCGTGACCCAGGCTGAGAAGGCCGTGTGTGCGACGAGCGTGTGAGGGGCTCCAGGTTGGAAGCAGCAGCAGGTCAGCACTGCGCATGATGGCTGCTGCAAGCTGGGCGCCACGCCGCGAGCTGGTGCAGTCGGAATGCCCTCGCAAGTCTGAACTTGGGCCGGCCTTGCCCAGGAGCAGGTGCCAGCGGGCACAACCCTTTGCAACCCCTACAACACTTCACACATTCTAAACCACCCAGCAGCGCGGCCCTCGGGGCGCACGACGCGGGCTGCACAGACTGCCGGCCGCCCCTGCCCCTCCCACCTGCCCGACGCAGGGCCCTACCTTGCCGCCTCCCACAGCGCGCTCCTCCCGCACGCGTCCACCCGGTTTGCCCTGGCCCCCAGCCGCAGCAGCACGTCCACCGCTCCAGCGTGCCCGCTGCGCGCCGCCAGCTGCAGCGCATGCTCCCCCGTCCTGATGCTCTCGGATACGACCTCGTCCCTGATGGGGACGAAACAGCCCTCTGACAGGTACAGGATGCAGTCGGCGGCGCCGGCGGCGGCGGCCTCCGACAGCGGCGTCCGGCCGTCGTCCGCCATTGCAAAGGCGTCGGCGCCGGCGTCGTTCAGGAGCTGTGGAGGGGCAAGCGGCGTTTGAGGGGAGACGTTTTTGGCGCAGTGCAGAGGAGCACGTGTGGACTGTAGGTGGCACAACAGCAGGCTGCAGCCCCATGCTGATTCACCTGGGTTGGTCGGAGCGACTCACTCGTGTTGTGGGCGCCACGTGCAAGGTAATACACAGCCTTGAACACAGGTATCACACCCAGTAGACTCAATATGTGCTACCAAGCACCCCAGCAGGCGCACCCTCAGGCATGCCAGGTGGCCGCCCCTCGCCGCCAGCGTCATCGGCGTCGCGCCGCCGTCGGCGTATGCGTATGCGTCCGCCCCGCGCCGCAGCAGCTCTACGACGACCGGCGCCGCGCCAGCAGCGCTGGCCGCCGCCAGCGCCGTCAGGCCCGAGTGAGCGTCGCGCGCGTCGATTTGGGCGCCGCCCTCGTCTAGAGCCGCCACCACCTGTGGCAGGCATGATGCAGCCGGCGGGGGCGATGCTTGGGCCCCATGTACCATTGAGATGTGACCTTGCGCAAAGGGGCATGTGCAAGCGATGCAGCAGGTGCGACCATGCCTTTGGCAATGCCATAGTCTGTTACCCAGGTCACCTGTCGCAAGTCCCCTGCCGCTGCTGCCTGCACTAGGCGCTGCTCAGGGCTGCCGCCTGCGGCCTTGTGCCATCCGACCGGCCGCCGCACGCGCTTTCCAGGCCGCTGGGCACCGCTGAGCGGACGTTTCACGCGTCTGCGATGCGAATGGCATGGAAAAGATGCTTGCAGTCAGCGCAGCTCAATCGGCAGTGCCTACAAGACACGAGCACTGGCCTGTGCATCAACCAGCAACCACGAAGCGGCGACGACCAGCCCACCCACCTGCCAGCGGGTTCGCCAGCACGCGCATGCCCCAACGCAATGGCATGCAGGATGTGCAAGCGCAATGCAGTCTGCAGGCGTCTCTTGATAACGGGCAAAAATGCCAAAAGCGCGGCGTGAGTTAGAGCGGCTGGTCGATCTCGCGACGAGTCCATACTTCAGTTGTGAATGAGGGATTGCACGTTTTGAAGGAAATGATAGATCGCAGTGAGACCACACGACAACAGCACAGAGCAATACAAGCCACCTTACAGCCGAGCCACCTTCGGGGGTGACGATGACATCGCGCTGTGGGCTGGTGGCGTTGGCTGTGTCATCCGCTGCTGCCTGCCACTGCTTGCAAGGTATGATGGCAAAACCCCAAAGATGTATATGCAGGTAGAAAACTTTGATATCCTAGCGCAAGGCAGACAGGAGTAATTGACAGCCACCAGCTTGGTGATTTGCAAGCAGGTCTTGCCATCCCCCATGGTGTGACTCCTTTTCTCCACGTCCCTGATGGCATGCTGTCGCATGGACCATCACAACCCGACCCAAGATACTGCGCGATGGCGAGAGCTAGCAGTAGTCATCTGCATCACAGCTAAAAGCAGAGGTTTGCAGCCCCCCAGTGTTTCAAAGCACGTCCTATGATGCTGCCCTTGAGGTGACAACACATGCTCAACGTTATTGAGTCTCCTGTGTCATGTCGATCAGGCACACATGAGACATGCGAGCATTACATATCATAATGTCGATTGCGTTCGGGTCGTCGCCACTAACGTATCTTCGGAAGTCTTGCATGTGTGAGTGAGGGGTGGGGGATGCTTCGTGCAGGTGGGGGGTGGGGGGCTCCGGCGGGCACGCTACCTCCCTGAAGCTGGGAGTACAAGCGCTGATTTCCCACAAGCACTCCGCGCAGAGTGCACATCGGGGGTGTGACAGTGCATCGGGGTGTGGGGGTGTGGGGGGCAGATGGCCAGTCCCCGGGCAATCAGCGAGAGGCTCTCAGCCCGCGCTGTGGCAGCTTGAAGGGTTCGTCCGCACGCCCTTGGATAGCAGGCAGCTGCTCGTCAGGTGTAAGATAGGGAGTGATTTAAGGGAACAAAGAGAGCGGGAAACAAAACCCCTAGGCCACTTGCGCAGGAGCGACAAGAAAAGACACAAGTAGTCCGTCAGAAAGCGCGAAACGATACCTCAACCCGGCCCAACGCAGGGGCGGGGCAGCACAGACGGCGGGGGGCCCGGGCCCGCGCCTCATTGCTGCCCCGGTGGCCGCGCCGGGCCTCCCGGGTGCGACGACGGCCCCGCCTGTTCTGGGGAGCCCAGAGCCATGCCTCCGAGGTCATCCAGATCGCCCATGCCAGCGGCCATGCGGAACGACATGTCGCGGCAGATCTGGTGTGGCGAAGCGCCGATTCGGCGGTGGAATTTGAGGGCGGGTGGTTGCGGCAGGGAGGCGAGGCCAGGGGCGGATGTGCGAGGGTGGATGGCCGTGCAACGCGTACAACCGAGCACCTCGAATCCCCTGCAAGCGACTCGCTGCCTCGCAGCACACCCCGCCTCCTACACTGCTGCACCACGCCCCTCTCATCCGCTCCCCTCTCCGGCCCTTGCCCTCACCTTGTGCCACAGGCTGCCGCCCAGCAGGGCCTCGTCGCTGCCGCTGCACAGCATCTCAGACAGCTGCGGCAGGTCCAGGTCGGCGCTGGTGACGCACATGCCACCCATGCCGCTCATCCCGTCCTCCCCCATCATGCCGACACCGCCGCCGCCGTTTCCGCCGCCGCCGCTGCCGCCACCTGGCGCCGGGTCGCTCGCGCACGGCCGCGGCGCGGCCCCGGCCGCGGCGGCGGCGTGCAGCGGCGGGGCGACTGGGGCGCTGCAGGTGCTGCGCTCGGGCGAGTGCGGCGACAAGGCGCTGGCCGGAGGGGCCGCGCCCAGCTGCGCCGGCGCCGAGGAGGCTGGGGCAATGTGGCCCTGGTCGAACTGCTGCTGCTGTTGCTGCTGTTGCTGCTGCTGCTGCTGTTGCTGCTGCGGCGGCTGTTGAGGTGTGTCGCCCGCCAGCTCAGCAAGGAGGGCCTCAATGCCCGAGGAGCCCAGTGTGTTTGGGGCGCTGCCAAAGGACACATCCAGGGGCATAGCCCCCTGCTGCGGAACGGCCGCATAGCCACGGGCCCCAGGGGACGCCAGGTGCTGCTGCGGCGGGTGGCCGTTGCAGGCCTGCGCCTGCGCCTGTGCCTGCTGCTGCTGGGCGAGCGCCCATTGCTGCTGCTGTTGCTGCTGCTGGTGCTGCTGGTGTAGCGCGGCAATTTGCTGCTGCTGCTGCTGTTGTTGCTGTTGCTGCTGTACAAGCTGCTGCTGCTGCATCGCAGCCATCTGCTGTTGCTGGTGCTGTTGTAGCAGAAACTGCTGCTGCTGCTGTTGTTGCTGTTGCTGCAGCTGCTGCTGCCGCTGCTGCTGTTCTGTCACCATATTTCCATTGCCGTCTGCACCGCCCGCCCCCACGCCTGCCCGGGCCCCCTCCCCGCCAATCCCCTGCTGCGGCGGCGCGTCGAAGCGCGGCGGCGGCTGCAAGGGTCGCGCGCGGGGTGGCTTGTGGGGCTGCACGCTGAGGGTAAGGCGCGCCGCCATGGCCATGGGGTCTGCGTATGCAGCCTCCTGCGGGTGCCAGGGGGTGAGGGTGGTTTTTATGCAGCCTCAAGAGGCATATGCTGGTGGCAGCGCTATGCACAACAACAACGCGTGTGCCGGCCCAAGTCGTGCCGCGCGCTGGTTGCTAATGCTTTGGCACACTATCACCCCGCTCAGCCGCGCCTGTCCGGCCCCACCGCCTGTCGTCGCGCCCCGTGGGCGCGGCAGTGCCCGCACCCCTACCGACGACCCTGCCCCCCGCTCCCCGCTGCGACGCAATGCAAAAGCGCGACCCTTCCCACCTTGACCATCCACCGGATCTCCTCCGGAGCCTGCCGCAGCTGGGCCTGCCCCTCGTTGCGCAGGATCAGGGTGTTCATCACCTGCGCTCCCTCTGGCAGGCCGTCCCTGAACCACGGGTGCGCCTGAATGTCTGCCATGGAGTACCTAGTTGCCAGGGGGGAGCGCGCAGGCTGCTGACAGTGCTGGAGTCGCCTCTTGACAGGAGCTAGGCGCAGGGGCACCCATGCAAGGCGGTGGCGGGTCCAACCGGGGGCCGCCGCCGCCTGCTCCCCCGCCGCACCTGCGCTCCGGCCGCGTCGCGAGCACGCGCCCCAGAAAGTCGGCGCACGCCGGGCTGACCGCGGCCGCCTCCGCCGGGCCCAGCACAAACTCCTCCCGGCTGGTGCGCGTGAACAGCACCAGCATCTGCTGCTGCTCCGGCAGCACGGTGTCCTCAGGGCGCAGGAAGGGGTGCCGGCCAAACAGCAGGATGAAGAGCATGATGCCGCAGGACCACACGTCTGCCTTCGCGCCGTCGTACGGCTGGCTGGAGAAGTTGTGCATAACTTCGGGCGCGACAAACAGCGCGGTGCCGACCTGGAGGGAGGTGCGGGCGCGCCCAGGTCCGCGCCGGGTCACGCGGGGTGTGCTGATGCAGGCGTGCCTCGCATGCATGCGTCTCCGTGCGTGGCACGCATGCAGGCACGGCATGCAAACCGTATGCCCAAACACGCGCCAGCGTGGGGTCCAGCCAAACCGCATTATGTCAACAGCCTGTGTGGGCCCGGCCTTGCCCCGCAGCTGCAGGCTCAAACAATAAGAGGGCAGGTGGCCCTCCCGTGAGGTTTGCGAAGCACTGCCTTGGATCGTCTGCAGGCAACCCCTTCCTCCCCGGCCGCACGCGCGTTTGCTGACACCCCTTGGTGGCCGCCGGCCGCACCTGGCTGGCGGGCGCGCTGTGCTGCATCGTGTCCTTGGAGTACCCAAAGTCGCAGAGCTTCACGAGCGGCAGCTGCCCCGGCGCCAGCGCCAGCAGCGTGTTGGCCAGCTTGACGTCGCGCGAGACCTTGCCCTTGCGGTGGCAAAAGTCAAGGGCCAGCACGAGCTGCTGGAACAGGAATCGGCCCAGCGCCTCGGACGTCCTGTAAGGGGCGCAATGCGGCAGGGTGCCCGATCGCGCGCAGCGCATGCGGGTTGGGATTCGGGGGCCGCGCGCAAGGCTTCAAACCGTGCACATCCAGTGTGGATGGATGTGTACTATGGATGGATGTGTACTCAGCAGCGACGGCCTGCGCGCACGCAGCATGGCCACACGCAGGCGCAGATGGCTGGGCGGGCCCTTGAGGACCCCAGCTGCGGCGTGCGCCTCCCGCAACGCCGCGCGCCGCGGCGCCGCGCCGCGTCTGCTGACTCCGCGCCCCTGCCCCCCCGCCCCGCCGGCAGCGGCCGTGCCGGGCGCGCACCTGCCGCCCGTGTTTGCGAGGAACTGCTGCAGGTTCTCTCCCTCCACGTACTCCATCACGACGCACAGGTGGCTGGGCGTCAGGAACACCTCCCTGAACTCGACCACGTGGGGGTGGCTGCTGGCGCTGAGCTCCTGGTGGTTCAAAATCTCCCGCTCGACGTATTTGGTCTGCCCAGGGTCCCAGCCTTGCAGGGCAGGGGCGGGACAGGCGGGCGCGAAGGGGGCGTGTGTCGCGCGCCCGCCCAGCTAGGGGCAAACCGCTCGGGGTGCGGGGCGCATTCGCGCGCGCATGGCGCCGCCGTCCGCCGCGTCCTGCCGAGGACAGGCATACGCATGCCCAAGCCTGCTGAGGGATGCATTACAGCAACCTCCACAGCCTGCTGCACCAAGCGCGCCGCATGCAGTGAGTGCCAACCTCGCGACAGCAGCTTGATGGCGACGCCCTCCCCCGTTGTATTGTCCCGGCAGAGCTGGACGGCTCCATGGGAGCCGCGGCCCAGCAGCCTGATAGGCTCAAACCTATTGCCAAGCATGATGGTGCACTTCCCGTCTGATGATCCGAGACAACAACTTTGCGGGCGATCACCGTGGCCTGAGGACGCTGCGAGGGGGCATCACAGCGAGCCACACCAAGCCTGGCTGGTGCCAAGCCTGGCTCGAGGGAGGCCCAGCTCGGCTGCCTTGTCTGTGTCGCTCGGCTGCGCCTTCTTCTGTGATGTGAGCGGCGCGTCGTTGCAATGTTCGGAAATGAACGACAGGACGCTAGTGATGAAGACAACAGCATCTGCCATCAAGACCACGCTCTGGCCGCCGCCTGATGATGCAGCCGTGATGCAGGTGGCAAGGTGCGAGGGAGGGGCGGCTGCCGCCGCCCTGGCACCGCAGCAAATGTGCGCATATGCCCCTCACCTGCAGGCAGATGCGCTTTTGAGGCCCCTTAGTCAATCGTATGCGCAGCCATCCTGATCACAGCGTAAACGGGCATGCCGTCCTGCCCAACCAGGGCGACGGCATGGCGGCGCTCGTCACGACTGAAATGATGGCAGCCCTACTAGCCGACAGCGCGTTTTCGAAATTGTTGCAAGCATCTACCATCGACACAAGGTTTGCAAATCCCTGCTGTTGCACGGGCAGCAAAGGCAGTCGGGGGTTCAGCACAGCAAGGGGTTGACTTTGGCACGTTTACTCAGCGTCACAAAACGACAACCATACTGTACGTGATGCATCGCTTGCGCATATCACGGCTGGTGTTTTCATACATCAACGTCACAGGACGAAGCTGCGAGAGCTGACAGTTTGACCTCGCCCAAAACAGTGGCACGGCCCGTGTCACAAAGACGGCCCTAACCTGACACGTGACCCACAGATCGCACTGATTCACACTTGATAGCTAGTGTACATCCTTACGGACCTGTTCTGCGTCGCCTCGTGGCAACAGCCACCGGGCAGCGGGAGAGGGGTGCAGGACGCAGAATGGCGGCAAGGCCCGTATACCTGGTGGATTTCAGGTGACTTTATTTACTGTATAGGTTTGCAGCGTACCTGCAGCCGTAACCCAGGCTCACTGCAATCCTCACGCCCTCCGCACAGCGTCTACAAGCCCCCTGAAGAGCTCAAGGTGAACTATCTTGAGTCTCAAAAGGCTTCAAGGTCATGGAAGGTGGGCTACACGGCCTTGCAGGCTCTCTCACGACGGCTTCACCCGCGGCTTGAGCAGTCTCTAGGTCTGATGGCTTTCGCACGATGAACCATGCGCGAATGGACCATTCTCAGCGGTATTAGAGCTCGAGATCCCACGCAGATGTCGCGTGTTGGCCGTAGCACGCAGGTGCGGCGCTTGGACTGTGCAGCAGTGAGCCACGTTGGCATGCACACCCCTGCAGGAATGCAAGGAGGAGAATTTCGAGTTCATCAGCCGGATATTCATGCGATCTGGAATAAGTGCGGAGAACACCTACCTGCCGGCATGGATCAACCCGGTGCACAGCAAGGAGCCAAAGTACGACATGGACACAGCCAAAAAGGAGGCCGAGATGGTCATGTGCGGCGCGGTGGCTGACCTGCTGGAGAAGACGGGTGAGATGGCGAAAGTCGTTGCACTGCATACGGGTCACTGTGAGAGCAGCACACGTGCATCCACACGCAGCTGCTGCTATGCATTGAGCTCAATCACGTCTGCTCAGTCATTCGCGTCAGGTGCAAAAGGTGCGCGTTTAGACTCCATGCCACCCTCCCCGCCGTGTCGCTCCCCTTGACCCAGGCACCCGGCCCCAGGACATTGACGTGCTGGTGACCAACTGCAGCATCTACTGCCCCACGCCCTCGCTCTGCTCCATGCTGGTCAATCATTTCAAGTTCCGCCAGGACGTGCAGAGCTACCACCTGGGCGGGATGGGCTGCGGGAACGGCGTGATGGCATTCAGCCTTCTGCGCGACCTTCTGCAGGTGGGGGCTGAGCTACTGGTGGGAGGGGACGCCGGCAACTGGATGTGGCGGCTCTGGGCGGCGAGGCGCGGGCGGGGAACATGCAGCTGTGTCACATTGCCGATGTGGGCGACAGGCAGCGGGGCGTCTGGGTGGCCGGGCGGCGGGGCGGCTGGGCGCTGAAATGGCATGTACAGAGATCAGCAGAGTTGTGGATCGCCATCGCGGAGTGTCTGGCCTGTGGCTGGGCGAAGGCTGCCCTGCTGCCGGGCAGGCAGCCGTTGTCAGTCACAGAGAAAGCTGCAGGATCGAGGCACAAGCCTTAGCTGTTTGCCACGCATGCAGCCGGCTGGGCGATTACCCACAGCTGTGACGACAGCTTATGCAAGGGCTGAGCGACGCTGCAGTCTCATTGGGCACAGAAGCAGCCAGCGTGTGCCCCAAATGACAAACAGGCAGCCTAATTATATTGATGGCATTGGTGGCTGGGCTCAAAGAGCATGAATGATTTTGCTGCTGAGCGAGTACGTCCTTCCCTCCACAGCACACCCTATGCACTGCTCACAAAGCGGCAGCATGCATCACTGACCGTCCTCTCCGCTTCCCTGCAACTCTTTCACCTCCAGGCACGCCCAAACTGCAAGGCGCTTTTTGTGCCCGCTGAAATCACCACGTACTGCTTCTACCCTGGGCTGCAGAAGGATTTCATGGTGGCCAACGCCATCTTCCGCATGGTGGGGAGGTATTCACCGCTGCTCCTGCTGTTGTAATCGCCGCCGCTGCTGCCGTTGTGCCAGGTTCTCAGGCTAAGCATCGCCCTGTTGCCGCCCACATTCAGCCCGCCGTTGTTTCTGCCCAGCCGAGGCTGCAGCCTTCACCAGGCCACCCTCAAAGCCTCCCTCTGTCCCCCTCTCCCCCCACCTCCCCCCGCCACAAACAACACCAGGGCGGCGCGGCAGTGCTGGTCTCAAATCAGGCGCAGTATCGACGGACAGCAAAGTACCAGCTCCTGCACAATGTGCGCGTCCACACCGGCCAGGACGACAGCAGCTACTCCTGCATGGGCTGGGGCCCCGACAAGGAGGGCGTCAACGGCGTGTTCCTGCGCAAGGACGTGCCCCTGCAGGCGGCCAAGGCGCTGGAGGCGTGCCTGCGCACGGTGACGCCCAGGATCATGACGTGGGGGCAGTACGCCGAGGCGGCGTACAACATGTTCGAGAGCGCAGTGCTCGGACGGACGGTGCCCGATTACGTGCCCGATTTCACAAAGTGCGTCGACCACTTTGCGCTGCACGCGGGCGGCTACGCGGTGCTCAAGGGGCTCCAGCAGGCGATGCGGCTGCCAGCGGCCAAGATGCTGCCGAGCTTCGGGACGCTGCGGGACTACGGCAACACCAGCTGCAGCACGACGTGGTACGTCATGGCGTACATGGAGACTTGCGAGGACGTGCGGCGGGGGCAGGTCATCATGCAGATTGGCATGGGCGGCGGTATGAAGGTGGGCGGGCTGGGCAGAGGGCCGGGGCTGGGGCTGGGGCTGGGGC